GGTCGGAAGATGGCCAAAATGCTACTGGGGAGGAGCAGAGGATAAGTTCAACTAGCCCCAGATGTGATGACGCAGCTAGCTCAAAGCCGAAAGGAAGGCTAGCGGCCGACGGTACTGGAGGTGAACGACGAATCCGATGCTCTAAAGATCAACACACCATAGGAACCTGGAATGTAAGATCTATGAGCCAGGGCAAATTGGATGTTGGTATTGGTGAGATGTCAAGACTAAAGATAGACATTCTGGGGGTCAGCGAACTGAAATGGACTGGAATGGGCCACTTCACATCAGATGACCACCAGATCTACTACTGCGGACAAGAGGAACATCGAAGAAATGGAGTAGCATTCATAATTAATAAGAAATTCGCTAAAGCGGTGCTTGGATACAACCCAAAAAATGACAGAATGATCTCAATTCGAGTGCAAGGAAAGCCCTTCAACATTACAGTGATCCAAATATACGCCCCAACCACAGCTGCTGAAGAAGCAGAAGTAGATCAGTTCTATGAGGATCTGCAGGAACTACTGGATAATACACCAAAAAGAGACATTATTTTCATTACAGGAGACTGGAATGCCAAGGTGGGAAGTCAAATGACAACTGGGATCACAGGCAAGCATGGTCTGGGAGAACAAAATGAAGCGGGACGCAGGCTGATAGAATTTTGCCAGGAAAACTCGCTGTGTATAACGAATACTCTCTTCCAACAACCTAAAAGACGGCTTTATACATGGACCTCTCCAGACGGTCAACACCGAAATCAGATTGACTACATCCTTTGCAGCCAAAGGTGGCGGACATCCATCCAGTCGGTGAAAACAAGACCTGGGGCTGACTGTAGCTCAGATCACGAACTTCTTATTGCCCAATTTAGAATAAAACTAAAGAGATCAGGGAAAATACACAGACCAGTTAGATATGATCTCACTAACATTCCTAGCGAATATACAGTGGAAGTGAAGAACAGATTTGAAGGACTAGATTGAGTAAACAGAGTCCCAGAAGAACTATGGACAGAAGTCCGAGACATTGTTCAGGAGGCGGCAACAAAGTACGTCCCAAAGAAAAAGAAAACCAAGAAGGCAAAATGGTTGTCTGCTGAGACACTGGAAGTAGCCCAAGAAAGGAGGAAAGCAAAAGGAAACAGGGATAAGGGGAGATATGCCCAGTTAAATGCGCAATTCCAGAGGTTAGCCAGAAGAGATAAGGAACTATTTTTAAATAAGCAATGCATGGAAGTGGAAGAAGACAAGAGAATAGGAAGGACAAGAGACCTCTTCCAGAAAATTAGAAACATTGGAGGTAAATTTCAGGCAAAAATTGGTATAAGAAACAAAGATGGCAGGGACCTAACAGAAGCTGAAGAGATCAAGAGAAGGTGGCGAGACTATACAGAAGATCTGTATAGGAAGGATAATAATATTGAGGATAGTTTTGACGTTGTGGTGAATGAATTAGAACCAGACATCCTGAGGAGTGAGGTTGAATGGGCCGTAAGAAGCATTGCTAACAACAAGGCAGCAGGAGATGACGGGATCCCAGCTGAACTGTTTAAAATCTTAAAAGATGATGCTGTCAAGGTGATGCATGCCATTTGCCAGCAAATATGGAAAACACAAGAATGGCCATCAGACTGGAAAAAATCAACTTATATCCCCATACCAAAAAAGGGAAATGCGAAAGACTGCTCAAACTTCCATACAGTGGCCCTTATTTCTCATGCCAGTAAGGTAATGCTCAAGATCCTGCAAGGAAGACTCCAGCAATACATGGAGCGAGAGTTGCCAGATGTTCAAGCTGGGTTTAGAAAAGGCAGAGGAACGAGAGACCAAATTGCCAATATCCGCTGGATAATGGAGAAAGGCAGGGAGTTTCAGAAAAACATCTATTTCTGCTTCATTGACTATTCTAAAGCCTTTGACTGTGTGGATCATAATAAATTGTGGCAAGTTCTTGGTGGGATGGGCATCCCAAGCCACCTTGTCTCTCTCCTGAGGAATCTGTACAAGGACCAAGTAGCAACAGTAAGAACTGACCACGGAACAACAGACTGGTTCAAGATTGGGAAAGGCGTACGGCAAGGCTGCATCCTCTCACCCAACCTTTTTAACTTGTATGCAGAACACAGCATGCGATGTGCGGGGCTGGATGAATGCAAAGCTGGGGTGAAAATTGCTGGAAGAAACATTAACAACCTCAGATATGCAGATGACACCACTCTGATGGCCGAAAGCGAGGAGGAGCTGAGGAGCCTTCTAATCAAGGTGAAAGAAGAAAGCGCAAAAGCCGGGTTGCAGCTAAACGTCAAAAAAACCAAGATTATGGCAACAAGAATGATTGACAACTGGAAAATAGAAGGAGAAACCGTGGAGGCTGTGACAGACTTTGTATTTCTAGGTGCAAAGATTACTGCAGATGCAGACTGTGGCCAGGAAATCAGAAGACGCTTACTTCTTGGGAGGAGAGCAATGTCCAGTCTCGATAAAATAGTGAAGAGTAGAGACATCAGACTGGCAACAAAGATCCGCATAGTCAAAGCCATGGTCTTCCCTGTAGTCACCTACGGATGTGAGAGCTGGACCTTAGGGAAGGCTGAGCGAAGGAAGATCGATGCTTTTGAACTGCGGTGTTGGAGGAAAGTGCTGAGAGTGCCTTGGACTGCGAGAAGATCCAACCAGTCCATCCTCCAGGAAATAAAGCCCGACTGCTCATTGGAGGGAAAGATACTAGAGACAAAGTTGAAGTACTTTGGCCACATCATGAGGAGACAGCAAAGCCTAGAGAAGACAATTATGTTGGGGAAAGTGGAAGGTAAAAGGAAGAGGGGCCGACCAAGGGCAAGATGGATGGATGGCATCCTTGAAGTGACTGGACTGACCTTGAAGGAGCTGGGGGTGGTGACGGCCGACAGGGAGCTCTGGCGTGGGCTGGTCCATGAGGTCACGAAGAGTCGGAGACGACTGAACGAATGAACAACAAGTAATATATATTATAATAATATAACAATTAATATAATATAATATAATTATATAAATAATAATAATAATATATTATCATTATATGATGCAATAATACCATAATTTCTTTTTATGGCAATGTGTTTTAATTGTTCTGTACTCGTGAGAAGTAGCTAAAATAATAATAATAATAATAATAATAATAATAATTTAATAATAACCGTTCTTGAATATTTAATGTAATACCATAATTTCTTTTTATGGCAATGTGTTTTAATTGTTCTATACTCATGAGAAGCAGCTAAAATAATAAAATTTAATAACAACAATTTTTGAATATTTAATAAAATATTATAATTTGATATTATTAAATTATTATTATATTAAAAGTAGATGCATCATTTTAAAAAATAAGAATTTGTATGTTTTGGCGTGATTATATATTTCTTTCCTCTTTCATATTAAAATTATTTTTTTTGTAAAGCTCTGGATTCGATAGCATTGGGCCATGGCACTCAACAGGGCGTCAACTGGATTAAATCCACCATGTAGATGCATCCCAAAAGCCAACCAGAAACAGACCTGTGGAAGGTGCTGCCTTTGTAGCCGATCGGAACGCCGTCTTTCCTAGAAGAAAAGTAAACATTGGAAAAGAGCTTTAGTTTTGGTCCAAGGGGGTTGGACTAGATGGCCTTTGGGGGACTCTTCTGGCGCTGGGAGATTTTGATTCCAAAGCCCTATCCCTCCATGAACCTTGCAATGTCTATGAGCAGGATGGCCATCTATCAGGAAGGCTTGGATTGTGTCTTCCTTTATGAGGTTAGTCTGGATGGCCTTTGGGGCCCCTCTGCTTTTATTTATTTATTACCGTCCTTCTCACCCCAAAGAAGACTCAGAGTGGCTTACAAATTATATGTACATATAATATATTATATTATTAGCATAGCACAATATAAGTATTATATATTACTATTTTGTACTATACCACTATACTGTAATATTAGTAAAATTATTATATTGTATTATTAGTATTAGTATTATATTGTATTACATTATAAAATCAACATTTTATGTATATGCAATATATTATATTACTAATATAATATTACATGTGATATGAAATATAAAATTATATTATTAGTATTAGTATTATATTGTATTGCATTATAATATTATCGACATTTTATGTATATGCAATAGATTATAATACTAATATTATATGTGATATGAAATATAAAATTATTATATTGTATTATTAGTATTATATTGTATTGCATTAAAAATTATCATTTTATGTATATGCAATATATTATAATATTAGTAATATTATAATTGTATATGTATATTGCATATACATAAAATGATATTATAATGCAATACAATATAATACTAATAATACAATATAATAATTTTATATTTCATATCACATATAATATTAGTAATATAATATTATATGTGATATGAAATATAAAATTATTAATATTATTTTTAAATCTGTTTTTAAATTATTTTAATGATTTATATAATAATAATAATAATTATAATAATAATCGATCCCATTGATCTTTGATATGTATTCTATTTATTATTAATTTATGACATTTATATGCCGTCCTTTTCACCCTGAAGGGGACTCAGAGCAGCTTACTAGATATATATTTACATACAATATATTATGTTATTAGTATTAAATATTACTATATTGTACTATACCATTATATTGTAATATTATTAGTAATATTACATGTAATATAAATATACAATTATAATATCATACTATTATTATTACACTGCATTACATTATAATATTATAAATATTATATGTATATACAATATATTATATCACATTACATTGTAATATTATAAATATTATATGCATATACAATATATTATATCACATTACATTATATTATTAGCATAGCAAAGGAGATTTTAAAACTGTACCATTATACTGTAATATTATTAGTAATATTACATGTAATATAAATATATAATTATAATATCATACTATTATTAGTAGTAGTATATTGCGTTACAGTATTATAAATATTATATGTATATACAATATATTATATCACATTACATTATATTATTAGCATTATTATTATACAGGAGATTTTAAATCTCTTTTTAAATTATTTTAATGATTTAATAAATAATAATAATAATAATAATAATGTACAATATATTGTATTACATAACATTATATTATTAGCATAGCACAGGAGATTTTAAATCTTTTAAAATTATTTTCAAATGGCTTTTAAAATTATTTTAACAAATTATTTAACAATAATAATAATAATAAATATATTATATCACATTATTATTTATTATTTATTTATTTGCTTTATTTCTATACCGCATTTTTCAGCCTAATTCGGCGACTCAATGCGGTTTACACAGTACAAATCATCATAACAATAAGAAGTAGTTAAAACACATCATATACAACAGACAAAACAACAATCAATTATCATATCAACGCCTCAGTAAAAATCAGAATCCGTTCTCATAATCCTTATACCATTTCCTATGTTCGATTATACTGTCTTCCTGTGTTCAGTTGCACTGTTTAGCCAAACGCTTGTTCATAGAGCCACGTCTTAACCTTCCTCTGGAACGCCAGCAACGAAGGGGCCTGTCTGATGTCTACCGGTAGGGCATTCCATAGCCGAGGGGCCACCACCGAGAAGGCCCTGTCCCTCGTCCCCGCCAGACGTGCTTGTGACGCAGGCGGGACCAAGAGCAGGGCCTCCCCGGACGATCTTAATGTCCTACATTACATTATATTATTAGCATAGCCCAGCAGATTTTAAATCTCCTTTTAAATTATTTTTAAATTGCTTTTTAAATTATTTTAATGACTAATTTAATAATAATAATATACAATATATTATATCACATTACATTATATTATTAGCATAGCAAAGATTTTAAATATCTTTATAAATTATTTTTAAATCCATTTGTAAATTATATTAATGATTTAATTAATAATAATAATAATGTACAATATATTATATTACATTATATTATTAGCATAGCACAGGATATTTTAAATCTCCTTTTAAATTATTTTTAAATCGCTTTTTAAATTCTTTTAATGATTTATTTAACAACAATAATAATAAATATATTATATCACATTACATTACATTATATTACTATATATAATTATAATATCATACTATTATTATTAATCGTATATTGCATTACAATATTATAAATATTACATGTATATGCAATATATTATATCACATTACATTATATTATTAATGATTTAATTAATAATAATAATGATGTACAATATATTATATATTATATTATATTACATTATATTATTAGCATAGCAAAGGATATTTAAAATCTCCCTTTAAATTCTTTTAATGATTTATTTAATAATAATAATAATAATAATAATAATGATACGTATACTATTTATCCCATTCATGCGTGGAATGTATTTCATTCCTTTTCTCCAGGGATCGATACGAACAGCTTACCTAAATTCTCCGGTGCAAAACTGACTGAAAATAAAAAGAGAAAGAAATAAAAAGTAAAAAAGTTGAAAGCACAGGGACAACAAGAAAAGTTGTATTAATAGAGAAAAGTAAAATAAACTCGGAAGTGATCTATGTTATGTTCAGTCTATAGTGTTAATGTAGTCTATGAACTACACGGGCACCATCTTGGTATAGGCCGAATGAGGTCTCTCTTGAGTAATAAGAATGGACTCGGGAGTGATCTATGTGATGTTCAGTCTAAGAGTTAATGTAGTCTATGGGCGCCATCTAGGTATAGGCAGAATGAGGCTTCTCTTAAGTAATAAGAAAATGGACTCGGAAGTGATCTATGTTATGTTCAGTCTATCCGTTGATGTAGTCTATGAACTAAAAAAGGCGCCATCTTGGTATAGGCAAAAGGAAGCCTCTCTTAACAAGAAAAATAGACTCGGAAGTTATGTATTTTATGTTCACTCTATTAGTTAAAGTAGTCTATGAACTACAAAGGCTCCATCTTGGTATAGGCCGAATGAGGTCTCTCTTGAGTAATAAGAAATATATACTTGGAAGTGATATATGTTATGTTCCGTCTAAAAGTTAATGTAGTCTATGAACTACAAGGGCGCCATCTTGGTATAGGCAAATGGAGGCTCCTCTTAGGTTCACGCGGGCGCCATCTTGGTATAGGCAAAGGGAAGGCAGAAGTGACGCGCGCGCCGCGGCCTACTCACCGGAAGTTCTCCGCGGTCTTGGGCACCACGTCGGCGAAGAGCTCCACCTTCATGCGGCCTACCTCCTGAGGAAGGAAAACGAAGCCTCGAGCCTCGCCCGGCTTTTCCAAGGCCTTCCCTCCCTCTCTCCCTCCCTCCCTCCGTCCCCTCACCTGGCCGCCTATCGTCACGTCGAAGAAGACCACCGGGTTGTTGGGGTTGGAAGCCAGCACCGCCATGGCGACCACCGGAAAGGGCGTCACTTCCGGCCTTCTAGGCCTTTCAAACTCCCCGCCCCTATTTTCGGACTTCAACTCCCAGAAGCCTCTGCCGTTTTAGCCCATGAGGGAGGATCCTGGGAGATGAAGTCCAAATGCCTATACACACAAAATGGCAGCGAGAACGTCACTTCCGGCCTTCCAAACTCCCCGCCCCTATTTTCGGACTGCAACTCCCAGAAGCCTCCGCCGTTTTAGCCAATGAGGGAGGATCCTGGGAGATGGAGTCCAAATGCCTATACACACAAAAGGGCAATGATAACGTAACTTCCGGCCTCGGCCACACAAAGGCGCCGTCTCGTCAAATCTTGTGGACTTCAACTCCCAGAAGCCTCCGCCGTTTTAGCCAATGAGGGAGGATCCTGGGAGATGAAGTCCTGAAGCCAGGACGACGGCCTATACACAAACAAAATGGCAGAATTTACCTCACTGCACGAACTCAGTCTGGTCAAACCCTTTGGACTTCAACTCCCAGAAGCCTCCGCCATTTTAGTCAATGAGGGAGGATCTTGGGAGATGAAGTCCTGAAGCCAGGACGACGGCCTATATAAAAACAATGGCAGAATTTACCTCATTGCACGAACTCAAACCCTTTGGACTTCAACTCCCAGAAGCCTTGGCTGCCTCAGTCAATGAGGAAGGATCCTGGGAGATGAAGTCCTAAAGCCTGGAAAGCAGTCTAAAGCGGGAAGGGCCCCAGTTTTGAGGACGAGCCTGCCTGAGGCCCCTGCTGTCCAGCTGATCTGACCAGCCGCAGGGAGTTCCACAGTTCCTGGATGCCCCCAGTATGGAATGTGCTTCAGCAGCAGCCTCAGTCAGGGACTCCTTCACCCTTCTCTCCTTTTGCTTTCGTCCCCGGCCCTAACATTGTAACCAATCCCCTTTGGAGGCCTAGTTCCAACAGGCCTCACTACCTCTGAGGTTGCTTGCCAAAGTGCAGGCGAAACGTCAGGAGAGAATGCCTCTAGACCATGGCCATACAGCCCGAAAAAACCTACAACAACCCAGTGATTCTGGCTATGAAAGCCTTCGACAATACATCAATCCCCTTTGGTCGTGTCAGGAGAGACTTGAGAAACTGCAAGTCGCTTCTGGTGTGAGAGAATTGGCCGTCTGCAAGGACGTTTGCCCAGGGGACGCCCGGATGATTTGATGTTTTTATCATCCTTGTGGGAGGCTTCTCTCATGTCCCCGCATGAGAAGCTGGAGCTAATAGAGGGAGCTCATCCACCTCTCCCTGGATTCAAACCTGCGACCTGTCGGATCTTCAGTCCTGCCGGCACAGGGGTTTAACCAGTCCCCTAATAAAGTCTAAATAAATTGTAACCTTCACCTCTCTCTAGTGATGCTTTGTGTCAGTTTACTGACTAAAAGCTTCAAATGCATGAACCTTTTTCTTCCTGAGCCGCGGGATGCCAAAACTATGTTTCTTTAAACCGCGGATACGGAAACCCCTTCGGGTCCCCGTATCCGCGAGTTAACCAAACGGCTCCATTTTGATGCCCTATTTTTCCTAGCCTAATTCTATCACTAACTGCTATCTGCTGCCGCTTCTTCGCCCTCACGGAGCCCCAGGATCCGGGGAACTTGATGTGGTCACCCCTTAGGACCCTCGAGAAATGGACTTGACCAAAGAGGCTCTGGAACTTTTTGCTGAACTTTCTCCATCATGAGTTATGGATTTCTGGCGGGAGGGTTTTACTTAGGCGATCCCTCGTAGTCCGAGGATGATGGTCCTCCAAGTTCGGTGTCCTGGTGGTGGTTTCGTAGGTGATTGTGGAGCCCTATTCTTCTCCCGCAGTGAGGGCATTGGTTTCCAGATGGAAGGCGGTCTCGGACGGGGTTGGCTTGACGCGCCTTCCTCTTGGCACGTTTCTCTCTTTCACCCTCCACTCGTGCCTCTTCAAATTCTGCAGCACTGCTGGTCACAGCTGACCTCCAACTGGAGCGCTCAAGGGCCAGGTCTTCCCAGTTCTCAGTGTCTATGCCAGAGTTTTTAAGGTTGGCGTTGAGCCCCATTTTCAATCTCTTTTCCTGCCCAACTACATTCCGTTTTCCGTTCTTGAGTTCGGAGTAGAGCAACTGCTTTGGGAGACGATGGTTGGGCATCTGGACAACGTGGCCAGTCCAGCGGAGTTGATGGCGGAGGACCATCGCTTCAATGCTGGTGGTCTTTGGTTCTTCTTCCAGCACGCTGACGTTTGTCCGCCTGTCTTCCCAAGAGATTTACAGGATTTTCCGGAGGCAGCACTGATAGAATCATTCGAGGAGTTGCATGTGACATCTGTAGACAGTCCACGTCTCGCAGGCGTATAGAAAATGTGGACCATTTCCGCTCCCTTGGCAGCCACCTCTCCACAAAAGTCAATATTGACACTGAAATACAACACTGCCTAAGCTCTGCGAGTGCAGCATTTTTCAGAATGAGGACTGGGACATCCATAGGGAGACCAAGGGGCTTGTTTATAAAGTCATTGTCCTCCCAACCCTGCTGTATGCCTGTGAAACGTGGACTGTCTACAGACGTCACATGGGAATACAGGCGGGCAAATGTCAGCGTGCCGGAAGAAGAACTCAAGAACGGAAAACGGAATGTAGTTGGGCAGGAAAAGACATTGAAAGATGGGTTCAAAGCAAACCTCAAAACCTCTGGCATAGACACTGAGAACTGGGAAGCCCTGGCTCTTGAGTGCTCCAGCTGGAGGTCGGCTGTGACCAGCAGTGCTGCAGAATTTGAAGAGGCACGAACGGAGGGTGAAAGAGAGAAACGTGCCAAGAGGAAGGCGCGTCAAGCCAACCCCGACTGGGACCACCTTCTGTCTGGAAACTGCAGGAGAACATGCAGGTCAAGAATAGGGCTCCACAGCCACCTACGGACCCACCGCCAGGACACCGAACTTGGAGGACGATCTTACTCAGACAACGAGGGATCGCCTAAGTAAGTTTTAAATCACTAGATACTGCAACTGCGTACGTATTCGCTGTTGATCTAATTGTTATTTCCATTGCCAATACCAACCAATCAGAGTTTGGTTTCCATTCCTTATACTGCTGAAGTAAAAGGAAAGCTGCGCTGTGATTGGTTGGTATTTATTATATTGCTGAAGTAAAAGGAAAGCTGCTTTGTGATTGGTTGGTATTTATTATACTGCTGAAGTAAAAGAAAAGCTGCGCTGTGATTGGTTGGTATTTCTTATACTGCTGAAGTAAAAGGAAAGCTGCACTGCGATTGGTTGGTATTTCTTATACTGCTGAAGTAAAAGGAAAGCTGCTCTGTGATTGGTTGGTATTTCTTATACTGCTGAAGTAAAAGGAAAGCTGCGCTGTGATTGGTTGGTATTTATTATACTGCTGAAGTAAAAGGAAAGCTGCGCTGTGATTGGTTGGTATTTCTTATACTGCTGAAGTAAAAGGAAAGCTGCTCTGTGATTGGTTGGTATTTCTTATACTGCTGAAGTAAAAGGAAAGCTGCTCTGTGATTGGTTGGTATTTCTTATACTGCTGTAGTAAAAGGAAAGCTGCGCTGTGATTGATTGGTATTTCTTATACTGCTGAAGTAAAAGGAAAGCTGCTCTGTGATTGGTTGGTATTTCTTATACTGCTGAAGTAAAAGGAAAGCTGCTCTGTGATTGGTTGGTATTTCTTATACTGCTGAAGTAAAAGGAAAGCTGCGCTGTGATTGGTTGGTATTTATTATACTGCTGAAGTAAAAGGAAAGCTGCGCTGTGATTGGTTGGTATTTCTTATACTGCTGTAGTAAAAGGAAAGCTGCGCTGTGATTGGTTGGTATTTCTTATACTGCTGAAGTAAAAGGAAAGCTGCGCTGTGATTGGTTGGTATTTATTATACTGCTGAAGTAAAAGGAAAGCTGCGCTGTGATTGGTTGGTATTTCTTATACTGCTGAAGTAAAAGGAAAGCTGCGCTGTGATTGGTTGGTATTTATTATACTGCTGAAGTAAAAGGAAAGCTGCGCTGTGATTGGTTGGTATTTCTTATACTGCTGTAGTAAAAGGAAAGCTGCGCTGTGATTGGTTGGTATTTCTTATACTGCTGTAGTAAAAGGAAAGCTGCTCTGTGATTGGTTGGTATTTCTTATACTGCTGAAGTAAAAGGAAAGCTGCTCTGTGATTGGTTGGTATTTCTTATACTGCTGTAGTAAAAGGAAAGCTGCGCTGTGATTGATTGGTATTTCTTATACTGCTGAAGTAAAAGGAAAGCTGCTCTGTGATTGGTTGGTATTTCTTATACTGCTGAAGTAAAAGGAAAGCTGCTCTGTGATTGGTTGGTATTTCTTATACTGCTGAAGTAAAAGGAAAGCTGCGCTGTGATTGGTTGGTATTTATTATACTGCTGAAGTAAAAGGAAAGCTGCGCTGTGATTGGTTGGTATTTCTTATACTGCTGTAGTAAAAGGAAAGCTGCGCTGTGATTGGTTGGTATTTCTTATACTGCTGAAGTAAAAGGAAAGCTGCTCTGTGATTGGTTGGTATTTATTATACTGCTGAAGTAAAAGGAAAGCTGCTCTGTGATTGGTTGGTATTTATTATACTGCTGAAGTAAAAGGAAAGCTGCGCTGTGATTGGTTGGTATTTCTTATACTGCTGAAGTAAAAGGAAAGCTGCGCTGTGATTGGTTGGTATTTCTTATACTGCTGAAGTAAAAGGAAAGCTGCGCTGTGATTGGTTGGTATTTATTATACTGCTGAAGTAAAAGGAAAGCTGCGCTGTGATTGGTTGGTATTTCTTATACTGCTGAAGTAAAAGGAAAGCTGCGCTGTGATTGGTTGGTATTTATTATACTGCTGAAGTAAAAGGAAAGCTGCGCTGTGATTGGTTGGTATTTCTTATACTGCTGTAGTAAAAGGAAAGCTGCGCTGTGATTGGTTGGTATTTCTTATACTGCTGTAGTAAAAGGAAAGCTGCTCTGTGATTGGTTGGTATTTCTTATACTGCTGAAGTAAAAGGAAAGCTGCTCTGTGATTGGTTGGTATTTCTTATACTGCTGTAGTAAAAGGAAAGCTGCGCTGTGATTGATTGGTATTTCTTA